AAATTACCGGAAGTTCCAGCCTCTGGCAATTCTGCAGAGCATATTTTTGCATTGCAGTGTACTTGCAGGCGCCTTCAAGTTCCTCGATATCTTTCGAAAGAAAAAAGGACACAGAGGTTCGGTTGGGACGAAAAATCGTCTAAAATTACATTCTTATTGATTCTAAAGTTTTAAGTCCGGAAATTTCATTGTGAAGTTAACTCAAGTGCATTTTTTAGTTTTTGCGTCGGAAACTTTCTTTTCAACAAATAATTCAAAAAGATCTTAAGGTTTATAATAAAAGACTGAGTCAAAAATGTATACTTGAATACTTTTCGCAAGGTAAGTGCAGAGAAAAACCGGACAAAAACATCTATTAAAAATCTCGGCGTGAAATCCGCAGTGGAATTCACTACAAAAACTATATCGACGATGTTAGTCGGCCGTCACATTACTCGTTTGCGGTGCCTGAAAATCGGCGCCTCTCTATGTTATTTACATAAAAGAGAACAAACTGACATCATTCCTTGAAGTTTTTGCGGAATTTTCTTCGCACAGAGAAGAAAAACCAAGGCAGTCTTAAAGAGTTGCCGTTGTGTAGTTTTCCGTTTAAAAAATAAAGTATGACAGGAAGTTAGCGACGTCGAAACCGAGTTACTGACAGCCGACTTACACCGTCGATATAGCTTTCAAGCAACCTGAGTATTTTGAGTGCGCAGTGGAATCTGCGATTTTTCTGGAGTAATCTTTATTATTTCATAGCAGCATCATTAATTTTGGTTTCAACGCCGCTCTCATAAAGCGGCTTTAACTCCTCGTTCATATCGCTATAAGGTTTTTTGAGGAAAAAATTAAAATCGCACTGCGCTGCACATCAGAATTTACATCGAGATTCTCAACAAAGTGGGCATCTCGCATAGCGACGTAGCCAATTCACCAGACTTAGGCCATGCAACGATGTGCATTTCATACGTTCATTCATTATCGTCACTCTATCGAAAATAAAACAAAGTCTCAAATGCCATCAAAATTTTTGATTTCATCCTGGACTGTGTTCGTCAGAGGCTCTACAGCCCGTCTCACTCTGCATAGTATTAGTGCACCCAAAAGTGAGTTTATATCTCTTGCTCGTTCGCCCGATTTGTCGATAGGACATATTTGGAAGAGTGATCATTATCGAGTTTTTCTCCTCGTGGGATGGGCCACCTTCAAGAGCGAGACAAAAGGCGCCTCGAACATAAGCGACATAGCAAAAGCCAACGAGTACGACAGCAAAACAAAGCCTAGGAATATCACACTCTGTAACGGAAAAGAGAAAAATAGTCATTAAAAATACTACTGAAATAAACATGTCGTCATGGACACCCTAGTGGTATGTTTCATTCCGATGGTGAAAATAATAGACCACGTATCTCGGTTTGCGACGGTGCAGACTTCCTGTCGTACTTTATTTCTTAGATGGAAAACTATTCGAAGTCAAATCTTGAAAACCTCCGTGCTTTTTCTTCTTTGAGTGAAGAAAAATCTGCAAAAACTTCAAGGAATGATATTGGTTAGTTTTCTTTTACAAAAATGAAATAGGAGCAGAGATTTTTGTACACCGCAAACGAGATACGTGGTCTAGTAGTGCATATCGACGGTGAAACTACCAAACCACGTATCTCGGTTTGCGACGTCGCAGACTTCCTGTCATACTTTATTTTTTAAATGGAAAGCTACTTAACGTCCAGTCTTGAAAATTTCCGTGATTTTTCCTCTTCGTGCGGAGAAAATTCTGTGAAAATTTCAAGGAATGATATTGATTTGGTCTACTTCAAAAAAATAAAATGTGAGCGGAGATTTTTAAACACCGCAAACGAGATACGTGGTTTGGTAGTTTCACCGTCGATATGCTTCACTAAAATTAGCATGGCTGCTTGAATTTTTCTTTGAATTCTCTTCGCTAGTAAATAGTCACCCTGTGCAAATTTTATGTCAGAATATTAATCTGATATCCATGTATAAAAGCTTGGAAATTGTAAAATACTACAATTATTGGAAAATGTGTTACGTAATAGTTCAGCCATTAATACGCCATGATTTTTTTGAGCGAAACATCGTCTGCTTAACTCCATCCACAAACTGCTCAGCACGTCGCTGTGTGGGAAAATTTCTCTCGTCCACAGTAGTTGAAAATAAGGCAAATATGTCATAAGTCGAAGAATTAAGAATTAGCACGAGGACCGATATGCGTACGGAGAGAGTTTCCATCACTTTCTGAAATCGGCGAAATTCTAACTGCATAGCTTTAAAGGCAGTGCTTGAATTCCTAGCATCCACACTTTGCTTGAGCAAATTATGGATTAGAAGAAATGGACTGAAAAGCAAGACATTATCTCTACCCAGTAAAGGAGATCCGAAAATTGTAATTTGTACTTACAGCCATTTGCACTGAGATGTGGGTGGTAGCGTCGGAAGTGAGAACAGCCGATCGCATGAGTTGAGGGTGTATCAAGTAAGCGCAATAAGTTATCCTACTCAAAGGATACAAATATTTAAAGGATAAAACTTTATCAATGAAACCTGTCAACAGTAAGGATATATTAGTAAATCAAAATAACATCAGGGCACAATAATGTTTACACGATTTTATTTACCTTCGTAAGAACCATACAATTCAATTTCATACCGTATGAAGACTCAAATAGAACTGGAAAAGGAATGTGATTGTTAAGGTTGTGAATAAGGTAATTGGAAGGGGAGATATATTTTAAACGTACGTATTTTATGTACGTATGGGGGACTGTATTGTCACAGGTTTAGCAAATCCTGCGGACCCCAGCTGGTAGCCCCTGCCTCAAAAAGGGTGGGTAGACAGGGCTCTTTAGCTGTGGTATAAGAAAACTGTTTAGGACAGGAAACTCCGATCAAACCCTGGCCCTTATTCAGTTTGGGGGTTGGGGCATCGGGCTGACTCCACAATTCTCGAGGAAAATATGCAATGTAAAAAAACCTAACCAATGCCTCGATAACCATGGAAAGAAACGGGCTCTTCGACTCAAACTACGGAAAAGAAGACTGGCTTTTGGAACTTGGAAGATGGACTACACTAGTGGCGCGAGAGAAAATGGAATGTAATAATATGTATTTTGATGCTGAAAACTGGTTAAGGTCACAATTTATTCCTCAATTTGAGCTCTAAGAAAACCAAGATACATGGATTTTTAGGAGTGAGGTAGGCTAGGGTCTTGATGAAATTCTTGTTATATTTGATTACTATACACATTAAAAAACTAAGGATTGGACGCACCTGCTCGACCAATCATGCACATAATTATGATCCAGGAAAGCGCGAGAGCCCATGAAGTATGGCTTAACGCAACATAAACAGCAGAACTGATAGGCCCCAGCTGAATGTAGTAAAGCCCATAAATCAGAGCGAGCATTGTTGCAATTGCAAAAACCCATCCGATCCTCTCTGAAACCTGAACAAAATTACAACTGTAAACCATAGGAGAAAAAACTTGATACGAAGTATTAGTGTGAGACTTGTTTAAACCTGAGACACAATGCAACCCTGGCATCTTACGAAATTATTATTTCTAAAAAAATGTACTTTTAAGTGTTCAAGTGAAAAAAGATACATTGAACAAATCCTGTAGCTGTTTCTCCTAAAATTATGAATCAATACTCCAGTCAAGGGTAGTAGGTATAGGTTGCTCTAAAGATCGATTGGACCGTTATGGTTTGGATATGTGAGTGTTTGTTGCTCTGAAAATGTTCCCTTCCCATTATTTGAAATCGGTAATTCAATATGAGCTTTTTTGAACTGAGGTCGCTACTTTCGTGTGCGGACACATAAGATGTGACATAATGGGTTTCAAAGTGCAGGGGCATATTGCACTTAGTACCCCCCCCCCCCCC